TGTGTGTGTGATTCTCCACATAAACAAAATGAAGAGTAAGTTGTCATGAATCCCACGCTATAGTGACCTTTGACATCTCCCACAGCAGCTATTTTTTATGGCATGTGTATTTGTGGAACTTTCCCTTTCATGAAAAGAATAACTAAACTGGGCCAACATGATTTACTAACGTTAGAGGCATGTAATTTACTTAAATCTAACTAACAAATAAGCAAGTTTTATTCCTGTTGTGCTTGGGATCGTTGCTTCAAGGAGTGTTTATTTATTTGTTTGTGATGAGGGAGGGAGATCAGATGAGATGAGATGTTATCAGAACCAGTGTGTAATTGGCACAGTGGATGGATGTCAAGCCCCACTCATTTTTGCTCCTCAATAATAGTGATACATTCATGGAACGGAGAAGAAATGAACTGGACTGAGCTTTCTTTTTCTCAGCAGTGCGCACACAGCGAGAGACTTCTCTGTATGGAACGTGTAGCGACCCAAATTAAAATGTCTGTCTATTTATGAGTTTATGTCAGCATGTTAGATCATGTCTGAATGGTGCAGTGTGCTGGAAAAAAGAAAAAACACACACAAGCTCATATTAAGCATGTGGCAGAGGGGTGGGATCTGGCAGCTGTTAATGTTTGCTTTGGTGTTCTTCTACGGTTCATCACCTCAAACAGGGCAGCTGTTACACAAGGATTTTTAGGTTTTAACAGTGGAGCAGTTTGTACATTCAGCTTCTTCACCTCTTTTCAGCAGAAAGTTCTACTTCAGCTTTTTTTCAGGAGAGGGTTAAACTTTTTCACCTCTTTTAAGTACAAATTTCAGCTTCTTTGCCCCTTTTCAGCAGAATTTTCAGTTTTTCACCTGTTGACAGCAAAAATTTCTGCTTCTTCACCTGTTTTTGGCAGAATTTTTAGTTTCTTCACCTCCTTTCAGCACATAGTGGAATCTGCTGAAAACAGCAGAAGTAAAACTACAAGGCATTCACATTGCATTTTCACAATAAATGCAACTTTTTCTAGTTTGTGTTAGTTCTTTTTTAGAACTAATGCAAGAAGATTAGCAGATTGTAATCTTGAAATATAAAAATAAAATTATATTTGCATTTACCGAGACTTTCAGTCCAGGTAGGCCAAGTATGGAGAAATATAAGAAAAGAAAAATATCTGAATGTCACGGTCCTGGGTCATTTGACCCAGCGTTTTGTGTTTATTTTTATTATTATTATTCTGTTGTTGTCATTATGATCCTTTGTTGTTGTTTATGGTGGTTATGTGCTTGGGGTTTACACCTTTTTGTTCTTAGAGGTTTGGTGTTGCACTCCCTCTGTTTTGTGTCTGCCCATGTGAGTCCAGTCTGTGCATTTCCTGTTTTATTTTGATCTGTCTTTTGTCAGTGTGTTGCGTTTGTGCTCTCCCTGTCTCGTCAGTGTAATCAGCGCCAGCCGTGTCTCGCAGCTGTTTCCTCTTAGTCCTGTTCACCTCTTGTATTTAGTGTGAGCGTCTTTCCCTGCTCGTTGTCTCGTCGTACCATCAAGCTTCGCTGTGTGTTCCGTTAACCTGTTTGCCTGTCTGTTAGTTTATGTTTTTTCCAGTTTAGTTAGTGTCCTGTACAATCTGGCAAAAAAACTGGCAATAAAGCTGTTTATTTTGAGTTCACCCTCGCCTCCGTGAGTCCTGCATTTTGGGTCCATTTCCCTGCCTGCCTGCACACAGTCACGACACTGAAGACAGTACAACATTTAATGATGCCTAGGCAGATTTACTTCTGACGAGAGTGGCCTACCAGCATGCCTAATTCCGTCGATCTTCGGATCCACATATGTGAGCAGCAATTCTCCACCATGAACTATGTTACAAACAAACAAACACCGCTCACGCCTCACAGACGACAGCTTACAGTCCTGCATAAAGCTGAAAGTGACTTCGTACAGCCCTTATATGCAGATGCTGTGCGCAGAGGTTCAGGAGCAGAAGTCCCATTGTAAACATATTACAGCAGACCCGACGATGTTTACATGAACATGCTCTTCAGCATGTCTTTATTGACCACTTTTCACACACACAGCCAGCTGTAGCTTTCCAGCTCACAGCCCGATGTGGTGCAATCTGTTTGAGTATAACCTGTTGTCAGAGGAAAAATTGCATATAATGTGATCAGCTTCATGAGATGTGCTCTTTTTATTGATCACTAAGCAATCTACATGTCTACGTGACTTTTCACCTAATAACTTTTGTGATGATGAACTTATTCAGCTACTAACCGCTTCCTGTCTTCAGAGAACATACAGATGTAGAAAAGGGAAAAACCCGTTGCTCTGAGTGACGTTGTTATCTTTGTGCACACACACAGTAGCGGTTTTAGATACCTGCGACACGGGCGGTTGCCCGGGGCGGCATCGTGGTGGGGGCGGCATCTCGGACATCGGCAAAAA